CAACAAACTTGAATAAAACCAAGAGAATAATTTTGCCTACATAATTTTTTCTTGAGTGGTATTCGGCTAGACTATTTCGCGAGAAAAACAAGCCAAATTTTCATTTGGAAAAAAAAATATTTTCTTTAAGTGACACTTGTCAAACTCATTAGTTTTTTACTCCAACCACACAAAATTTTGTTGCTGAAAAACCATCATGTTGGTTTTGTCCAGGTAGGAGTTTTGTCAGTATGGTCAGTAAAAATCGGCCGTTCCTATAACATTTTGTCAGTGTAAAATACTCTACAATTTATTTTTTCCCAAGATAGATTTTGACATTGTCAACTTTGAAACATAAACAATGCCGCTGATGCCGCTTATTGGTCGCAAAATGCCATTTGCACGACATGCATTGTAACGGTGTCAACCTGCAGGGCTCGCTGCAGGGACACCTCATTTTGCGATCAATCAAGGCCAAGCGTTATTGTTTATGTTTCAAAGTTTTCAATGTCAAAATCTATCTTGGGAAAAAATAGACTGTAGTGAAATGGTCAAGAAAAAATTAAAAGAATATTTGTGATTTGATTTCAATAAAAGAATTACTAACGCTTTTTTTTTGTACCTAGAGTGTTTTTACTTGATATAGGTATAATATTCACTGAAAGAAGTCCCAAATAATAGTACATTATATACCTAGGTAGAGAAGTTGGTCATTATATACCGGTTAGTAGTAAAAAAAATACTTTTTTTACTACTAACCTGAGAAGTAGTCATTATTCAATCTATTTTTCTCGGAAAAAATTGAATTTCTCTCCCTAGGTTAATAATGAAAATAATGAAAAAAAAACCTAGGTCAATAATGAAAATGACGTCATGACGCAAGGATATTGTCATAACGTTACAGGTTTCTATTGATTTAATTTCAATTTCAAACTGTCAATTTAATCAAAAAAACAGGTTCCTGTATGTATCATAGGAAATTACCATAGATGTTGATAGAGGGCAGCACTTTCAACTAGAAAAAATAATTTGAGCTCAGATTTCAAACTTATTTTTTATTTTCTACTAGCAGTAGTAAAAAAAATTCTATATATTCCACGGTAGAAAAAGTCATTATATACCTTACGCAGTATATAAAAGCGTTCGGTATATAATGACCAACTTCTCTACCTAGGTATATAATGTACTATTATTTACGACTAATGTATAATGTGCGTATTATATTTGTGATTTTGGCAGTATAATGACATATGTTATTCCTCCAGGGATTAATGACGAGTAGCGGGATTAATGGTCATTATTCCACAAAAGTGTCAGTGTCAAACTTGTAGTGCTTGTGGATTTGTATTGAAAATTATGAGACGGATGAAATTTGTTCATTGAAAATCTCAAATAAATTAATTTGTCGTAAATAAAGTAGAGTATACTACTCGCAATAATGGCTATTATTCCCTCGGAATGTTACTCCCTCGCCGCTAACGCGGCTCAGTTCGTAATAATCCTCGGGAATAATAGCTATCATTATTGACTCGTGGTATAATCTACTATTAAATTAGGAGAAATCCCGCGCAATCCCGAGAAAACCTGCGCAATCACGCGAAATCCTGCGCAGTCACGCGATATCCTAGGCAAATTCGAGAAATCCCGCGAAATCTTGTACAATTCTGCGAAATCCCGTGCAATCATTACGAAATTTTGCGAAATCCCTTATTTTGCGCAATACTGTCACATTTTTACCCTAGTGGTTTACCCCTCGACCTTTTCCTTTGGTTTGAATGTTTTATTTGTTTTCTCGCACCTTTTCCTCTAGTTTGAATGTTTTATTTATTTGTTTTCTCCTAGTTTTAATATTGTTTGTTCGAATTCAGATAAGCAGAAAGTTTAGTTTTTTTTTTTAATAAATAAATAATTTTGAATTTGAGTTTAGATAAGCAGAATGTTAAGTTTTTTTCTAAAATAAAAACCTAATTAATTTAAAATAAATTTATGAGAAACAATTTCTAATATTGACTTTTTTCTTAGTCACTCCCATAGGTACCAACCACAATTATTAGCTCTTTTAAGCTTCAAAAAAGCCTTAGTGATGATTACTGATCTTCAAAATATGATTTGTATCGGTCTAAAGTTATCGGCCAATGAAGGGCCGATGTGCCGATACACCGATATACTTGAAAATGGCCGATATGCCATATCGGTATCGGTCGATCCCTGGATAAAACGCCATTTTTTTGCATCCACGACAAGTTTTCCTGACTTCCGGTTTTACCGGAAGTTACCGAAACTTTTGATTTTCAAATGGTACACCCTGTATGTTTTTTGTTTTTTGGATTCTACAGATCGTTTTACATCCTAGTGACCCACTTTCAAATCGAGTTTTGTCCAAATTTAGTTTTCAAATTAAATTTAGTAGAAAAAAAAATAAACGAAAATTATGAAAAATATCGTGGTGTATTATATCGTTGGATTCGCCTTAAAATACTCTCGAAAATACTGCATTTAGTGATGTTATGAAAGTGATATCTTTTTATTCTAGTTTTTGAGCTAGGGAAAAAATACTAAAATAATGGAGTTTACAGCCTTCTAACAAAAAAGTTTACAAAGATAAAATTAAGTTTGTATTTTTCTGATGTAGAGTCATTTTAGGATGATCATGGCACTCTAGTTAAAAAATTTAAATTTTAATTTAAAAACAAAATTTGGAAAAAACTCGATTTAAAAGTGGTGCATTAGGACGTGAAACGATCTGTAAAATCCGAAAAACAAAAAATATTCAGGGTGTGCCATTTAAAAATCGAAAGTTTTGGTCATTTCCGGTGAAAGCGGAAGTCAGGAAAACTTTTTATAAATGCATAAAAATGGTGTTTGGTTAGAATATCAACCCTACCAAGTTTCGTTGATATCGATAAACAAATACCAAAATGGCAGCCGGAAAGTGATCTCGTGGGCACCCGGTATACTCCTGAACAAAATTATCGCACCACCACTGCACATAAGCACCATAAGCAGTGGTGCGATAATTTTGTCCAGGAGTATATAAGCAATTATACAGGGTGTTAATAAATAGTGGGATCAAACTTCTAGGATAAATAGAACTCATTAAAATAAGAAAAAAATAAATAGAAACATGGTTCCGCTAATGCTTAGTTTTCAAGATACAGGGTGTCAAAGTTTGAAATAAAATCGGTTTTTTAGCTCAAAAATCCCTTCTCCAATTGTCTTTTTCAAATTTGGCAGGTTTGTTTGTGATAACAAAGGGTATCTTTTGAGTTTTGACTGTAATATGACTTAATTTGCAAAAATATCAAAGTTATAAAAAAAGTGACATGACATTTTTTCTACTTTTACCAACGTAGTTGTCCTCTGGGGCGACCCTGGAATAATTATAAGGTAAATCTAATTGAATCAAAAGATATCGGGTCTTCAAAAAAAAAAAACAATCGAAGATTGCTTTGATTACGAAAACGTACGTCGCATTTTCTTTTATTTTTCTTTATTGGTCAGGTTTTTTGACATGACATTTTGACATTAAAGTTCATTGACAAAATTGAAGGAAAATTATGCTAAGACATACGTTTAAAAAACCCTAGCAATCTTTGATTGGTTTATTTTTTGAAGACCCGATACCTTTTCTTATTATTACAAACAAATCTACCAAGTTTAAAGAAATTCAGGAAACGGATTTTAAAAAACTGATTTTTTCAAACTTTAAAACCCTGTATCTCGAAAACTAAGCATTTGCGGACCTATGTTTCTATCAACTTTTTTCTTATTTTAATGATTACTATTTATCCTAGAAGTTTGATCCCACTAGTCATTAACACCCTGTATAAAGCTCTCAAATAACAGCTCCTAGTCTTCCTAGCAGATCTTCCTGATGTTTTGAGCAGGTGGAGCAAGTACAAATGGGAATGAACACCCTTCAACTGGAAATATAAGGTCTGTTTCTGCAGAAATCACAAACCAGTCAGAGCGAATTTCATTGGTTGGAAACAGTCAAAAACAGTCAGAAAATTAGTTTCAACCGGGGTTTCAACCAATGAAATTCACTCTGACTGGTTTATGATTTCTGCAGAAACAGACCTATTTTTGATAGTTTTGCAACTTTGACAGGTTGTAAAACCTAAACGGTGGATCTTACAGCAGAACCGATCTTAGGGCCGGTATTTCAATGTTACCTTAAAATCGAGACTTACCTAAGGTACCCTTAACGTTGAGGTGAACTTGAAATCAGTTCATTCGGGTGGCCTCCTAAGATCCACCTATTAAGGGGAACTTTGATATACGGTGAAACTTGTATCAAGGATGACTTCGTTATTCTGAACCTTGAGGTGATATTGAAATACCGGCCCTCACATTCTTAGTTTTCATATGCCAGTGCGCACCACTCGCCCCTACATCTACAACTTGTCTAGGCGCCACTTGAGCTGAGGGTAACCCTTGAGGTTTAGTTGGTTTGCAAAAGTTCGGAATATGTTCGGCTTTGAGAAAAGGAGGAAATTAATGGCAACAATGCAATAAGTTGGTTTTTTTACTACTAACCTGAGAAATAGACATTATTCAATCTATTTTTCTAAGAAAAAATTGAATTTCTCTCCCTAGGTTAATAATGAAAATAATGAAAAAATACCTAGGTCAATAATGAAAATGACGTCATGACGCAAGGATATTGTCATGTTTCTATTGGTTCAATTTCAATTTCATACGTCAACTTGAAAAAAAATACAGGTTTCTGTAGGTACATAGGAAGTTATATAAGCTGTTAATAGAGGGCAGCACTTTCAAGAGGGCGTTCACAAAAAATAATTAGAACACAGATTTTAAACAAATTTTTTATTTTTCACTAGCAGTAGTAAAAAAAATTCTATATTTTCCTCGGTAGAGAAAGTCATTATATACCTCAAGCATTATAAACCTCGGCGCTGGGTATGTAATGACCAACTTCTCTACCTAGGTATATAATATACTATTATTTTGTGTTTTTTGTGTGGCAATAATGATTATTATTGATTATTTTCTGTCAGGAGTGTCAGCTGTTGAAAAATATTTGTTTTTTTTTCTAAAATAAATTTTGCTTTTTCTGTTGTGACGATTGTGTTGGTCGAAAATGAACGAAACTGCGAAAAAAAAAGTGAATTATTCGGTAAGCGAGAAAAGCTTATTGCTTAGTATTGTCCAACGTTTTAAAAACGTTGTCGAAAACAAGAAAACTGACGCAGTTACCTGGAGGGAAAAAGACTCTGCATGGGAGAAAATAGCGGAGATTTTCAGCTCAAAATCCACAGGAGTATTACGGACGAAAGATTCCTTGAGAAAGCTTTACGAAAATTTAAAAAAAAATGTTAGGAAACAGGTGGTTGACGAAAAAAAACTACTTATTTGTACTGGAGGAGGGCCACCACCTGCTAAGAAACCAAAGGCTGAAAATGATTTAAAGGAACAAATATTATCTATTGTTAACAGTAAGACTGTTTATGGTCTACCAAGTATTTTCGATGGAGATGCTGTGAAGGAGAATAGAGATAAATCACCTCAGCCAGGCTGCAGCAAAGACTTCTACCAACTAGACACTGATCATGATTATTTCTCCTTCGATAATGAAAATGAAGTTATAGTTGTGGAAACATCCACTCCTAGAAAGGGAATATTAGTGGTAAGAAAATGCATTCACTTTCTTCACTTTGCGAGTTTTTATTAGTTAAGAAAACATTTTTTTAATTTTTGAAGTACCTATAATGTTTATTCAATTTGAACATTTATATGGATTTTTCGTTTTATGTAATTATAGATCTCCAATGTTCATTTCTGAACTTTGTTGTTCGATCTGTTATGTAAACTATAACAGAAACTCGAGCAGCTGTAATTTTTAGTATTTTGTCATAGAATCCTACTTTCATGTTTTCCTTTCTATTCTTAAAACATACAAATTAATTTCACAAGACTCATAAATAAAAAGATATGGAAGGTTTTGTTTTTTTTTATACTTTTGTTTTAACCATGTTTTTGATACAAAAAATTATAGGTTGCTCTAAGTGTTGCTGATATTTCAGCTGTTATACCTACCATCTTTAAAGATGAAACGATAAAATTTCAAATAATGATGATTACAATTTTCACATAGGTACTGCATTTTTTTTGAAAGGTGGGGATCTCGATGGGGATGGAGCTTTTCAATGATATTTTTTGTCCTTTGGTATATTTTATTATTGAGAAAATTATAGTAGGTACTTCAAAAAGTTAAAATTCTGCTAAATTGGCACTTCAGAAAATTTTATTATTGATAAGATATGGGAAAACCGTAAGTATGATAGAGAATGACCTTCAAATTATTTTTACTTTACAGAATACTGATCAGAATACAGAACCACAAAACAATAAATACCAAAAACATGAATCCTGCCAGAAATTTGCTGCCACCACAAATGAAGACAGCATTATAATGGTAAAATCTGTTTTGAATTTTTGTAGCTTTATTTTATAGAAATGTGCTTTCTTTTTCTACCTTTCCAGGGTTGATGGGGAAATCACTTCAATTTAAAAAAAATCAAATATTTCATATGCCTTTTTTAACTTAGGTCTAATAATGGGTTTTAGTTAAAAACTGAAATTTTGATACAAGCTATCACACCAACATAATTTTCTTTTGTGGTTTACTTATTTTTAAATGCCAAACAAAATTGGCTTGCTTTTTGAGTTGATATTTGGTTTCGTTTCTTTGCTCGTGTAACCAATAATTTTTTTCCTTCACAGGAAAAATCAAGCAAGGATATTAACATCTTTAAAACAAAAAAAGATGATGCTTTACATGTGGACTCGCATGTGGATGGATGTAGTGCATAGGGTTCCAGAAGAAAACCTGCAATGAAGGAAACTGGTGGGGCAGATTTAAAAAGAGAATACTCTTCCTTGGCTAAGGCAAAATTTGAATTATACTCGGAGGAATTGAAACTAGCTAAAAGTCGAATAAAAAGGGAAGAAGAACTCCACGAACTTAATAAAGAGAGCCTTAATTTAGAAATTGAGAAAAAACGGTTGGAGATAAAACGTCTTCAAGCATTTGTTGTAGAATAAAAAAAGTCAATGTGATTAGTTAACATACCAAAGAAAATATTTAGATATGTATTGATTAATTACATTTAAGTACCTGAGTGTTAGGAATAGTCCAACATTATTTAAGTTGTGATTGTGTTGCAGAGCAAAATATTTATTTTTTATTTTCATTATCATATTATTTTGTTTCTTTTAAGACATGTTATAAACTGAAACACTGATTTTGTTTGAATTAAAATGTACCTTCTAAGGCATTGTGCAATATATCCTGTTAAAAAATTAAAAATTTTGATAAATATTACGTAAACTGTAATTAACAAACCAGCTTTTCCACTTATGAACTGAGCTAGTTATCAATCACATGTAAATAATTTGCACAGCTTTAAACCTTCATTTGATTGAACTAAAATAAAATTGTGCAAACCTCGTCAAATTATGAACTATTCCAAAATACTGCGAAAAAGGCTTGCTCTATAATATTATGCAGGGAGAATATAAAAAAAAAAAACTAAGTTTGGAATGGAATTATTTTACTTCTAGATTGCACTAAAAACCAAACAGCAAAAATATATTATGCATAATTATATACATTTTCTATCTATCTAAATCTGCAAAATAATTTATTATTCCCTCTCTTATCCCAAGTGCTTGTAAGTCTGCAGCTTGGTCCACAGGTGGAATTCCAGGAACTAAATCTTCTTCCATCCTTCTCAAAAATCTTTCCAAGTCTTCTGGATCTGGTGGATCAGCCTCATTTTGTTCTCTGCATATATTGTGCAGAACTGCCAAAGCTACTATAATTATTAAAAGCGTCTCCAGTTTAAGACGACATCCATAGGCAAGTATAGGAAAACGCCTCTTTATTATTCCATTTACCCTTTCTATGATGTTCCGGGTTCTTATATGAGCCTCATTGTATAGCTGTTGCTCCCTAGTTTGTGGGTTGAGTAATGGAGTAAGCAAATATGGCCTTTGAAAATAACCACTATCTCCTGCAAAAAAAAAATAATTGTGTTATAATAAGTGTGAAAAATGATCGCTTTGCTTGTTCCACAAATGTTAATATGCATGCTTTTGAGCATGCTTTTAATGCAATTTTCGCATGTATTGTATATTATACAAGATTTTTTCCACAAGTGAGACTTTTCACACTAGTGTGCTACATGAAGTTAATTTTTCCACACTGAAATGGACTTTTCACACGCTCATAGAAAAAGTCTGTTTTTACCTTGAGCTTTAGGGTTCTTTCCAAAGGATATACCTATCTACTGTTTTACTTACCTAGCAAAAGGCAATTTGGAAAATTATTCTGGTCAAAAAGTTGTTTAATTCGGCTGTTATTAAAAATTGTACTATCATGACTCGATCCAGGCCATCGTGCTACAATGTTAGTTATTTTGAGATTGGCATCACTAATGATTTGGGTATTTATTGAAAAATAACCCTTTCGGTTGCGGAAAATTTCAGCATCATTTCCACCTAAAAATGACAACGAAGTAATTGAAATATTAATTTCAGTTTCTTGTAGTTTATTTTCTGATTTAATGTTGAAAAGAGGAATATCAGATAAATGATAAATGCATCGTTACTGGTAACCAAAATCTATTTAAAGAAAAAGTGCCTCCTCCTTCTGATAATATTTTGTAATGTAAGCATCACTTTTTGATATTCATTTTTAAGTTAAAAAAGAGCAGGAGTACCTTACCTACCCAAGCGCCTTTCTCAGTTTAAATGAATAACCTAAATTAGTTGAAAATTAGAGGAGGAAGGGTATATTTTCATGGCATGAATGACAGATTTTTATGAAACCTAAATTGTTTCCAACATTCCAACTTTAAAAAAAATCATATTACCTGAACAAAATAACAAATAATAATAATATTATGCCTACCAGGAGACTGTATTCTTATATGGGTACAATCTATGACTCCTATCACTCTGGGAAACCTGGCCTTCTGATAAAATAGGAGATTTTCTTTATCCCTTTCTTCTTGAGTAGCTGGCATTTTAATAAAATGATCTGCTCTTCTTGCAAGGGCCATTCCAACCCTTTTAATTATTCTTGAAACAGTAGAGTAGTGCATGCCCGAAAAATCACCAATTAATGTCAAATGGCTTCCAGTTGCACATACCCGTAAGAAAACCACTAATTGGTTTATAGGTGCAACACTATTATTACTAAAACCAAAGTTTATGAATATATCACCATACATTTCTTTTTTTGTAATAATAAAAATAGGTATGTAGTATGTATGTACTTATATGAACTCACAAATCATATGGATGCTCAATATCACCTTCAATAAGATTGAGCACAAAAAGGCTTGTATCTTTCGACATTCTAAACCGTTTGCGAAAGGTATCTTCATCGAAACTATTGAAATAATCCATTCTTTCAAAAATCTTCTTGGAATTCCATTTATCACAAATTCTAATTCTTCATCTTCTTCGTCGTCCCGAAGAAGTTCCATTTCAAGGCAGACAATTTAAATAGCCAATAATGTATTTTAATACCTACTTTTATCTTGAATACTTCTGTTTTGAAAAAATTACGAAATAAAACATAAACAAAATAAGCACACATAACCTCACAAAGTGACGTTAAAGCTGGATTTATAAACTCTGACGTCCGCGCCCGCACCTCATTAACTAAGTCGTCAGCCGTTTGCGCCAGCGGTCGTAGTTTAGAATTTGAATTTATGATAAAAAATATTATTTAATTCGCCAAGCTTTTATATTTTGGTACCTTTAAACAAACAAATAGACTGAGCCGACGTTTAAGGATATTGGGGCCTCCCTTCCACATCCACGACAGCGAGGCAAAACGGCGCAGACCGAGATACGAGTCGGCTTGCATGAATAAAATTAGTATTTGTACGCCGCCTCGGTCCATGACCGAGTCACATATTATGTCAAAACTCATTATATGGCCGCTACAAAAAAACTAATCAAATAGGCATTGTTGGTACTAAAAGTACTATCCTTGGACAAAATATTATTTCGGGAAATAATTTTTTTTTTTGTAATTTTTTTTTGTGGCGATAGGGGCAAAGCTGCCAATATTGGTCCGGCAGTTAACGTGTTGAATATTGTAGTAAAACCAAGTATGCGAAGTAAACGCCTACGGAATCATAACATGTGCAAATACCCTAACTACGTCAAAGCAAGAAACGATACGCCGCCTAAGTCATCACTGGTGCTTTGGCATGGTGGGGGGCTTGAGATTTGAACTACACAGGCCTTATGAGGGTTGGCTATCCGCTATCCTATATAAGTAGTGTGTATTATCCTTGGAAGATAGGTACCTGACATTATTGTTGGTGCATGCCTGGATTAAGAGGAGGGCTAAAGGGGCTGGAGCCCCGGGCCTGGAGCCCCTGGCCCCGCTCGGTCCAGAGGGGCCCCGCAGGGGCCCTCCTTTTGAACAACGCACGTTGAGGCGTTGAGGCTTATGCTCAGTGTTGCCAATGGATAGAAGTCAAAAGATCCTCCTGTCAACCCAAAATTATCCGATTTTATACGAAATTATCCGATTACTTTTGAAACATGATATAGGCGTTTTTTCGCGCTGGAACTGGTTGAACCCGGTTCAACTAGTTACAAAACTGACCATTCTCACGTTGAACCAATGACGTCACATCGGAACTGGTTCACAAAATATCCTTCCAAACATAGGCATGCACTTTCGCCGTTTTTTCCGTTCCCCACCTCACCCTGATATTATTTTCTGACAGGCTTTGCTTAATTGCTTTGCTTAGCAATTATTGTTACTTGCTAACTTTTCCTGTTGCTGCCAGAATTGAAAACAGGAATAAGGAATTAACTACCTTTTCTTTCTCTTTATAGCCAGCAAGCCATTTGTCCATTATTCTTATGTCTTTGTTGCAGCACTAATGCTGCAAACTGCGACACTTTAAGCTCTTACTCACAAATCACATATCACAAATTAGATTTTACATTTTAGAAATTTATTATTTTGAATTTGAAGACCAAGCTCAGCTTGGAGGTTATAAACTAAGCAACCGTTTTTTTTTTTAAACGCTGATCCGATTATTCGATCAGTATAGCAGTTTGTATTCTATTAGTCTGGGAGACGACCGCATTTTTCCTACCCTGATCGAGTTATGTGTCGACACTATTATCAATATATAGTATTATGTGCATCTATTAACCTGTATTCCTGCCTGAGAGCAAATTCTGCCGGAAATATCTTTTAACAAATTATTAACAAATTGAAAAAAACGCGACACTACCCCCATCGAGTTATGCCCTTAGTAGGGTATCAGATTGAAGGTCTCGATGTCCCCTATCTAAAAGGTCGATCCTGCCTGGAGAATTTAAGAACTTTGATCACAGTGTGCAGAGTCAAACATAGGCTCCTCTAAATCTTGAATTTGACAAGTTTAAATATCACATTTTTCGATAAATTGGGTATCATTGTGTTTGTGAGAGTGTAAACTTTTTGTTTGTGAGTGTTTCATGAGTGAAAATCAAATCATTTCCTGGTAAATTCGAAAAACAATTGAAAAATTCTATACCATTAAAATAAAATAACAAAAATAACAATAGACTCTTATCTCCAGGTACCTATTTTTTGCTAATGAGCTTATCTCTCTACATTCTGCTCTTAACATAAACAAAACTACGAAACTTGAAACGCACTGTAGTCCGAGTGCACATAAACTTTTTGTTCATTTTTAAAGATTCAACCCGAAAATGTCGTCTTTTAAATGTTGCAAAAATAAAGAATCAACTGTATCGTTTTGTGTCGTATGTAAAAAAGTAGTTCATAGAAGCTGTTGGACAAGGATGAACAAACAATATACCATCGTAAGGGACAGTTTAGCAATATGTTCCCGAAACTGTATGGATGCAGCAGCTGAGGATGAGCCAGACACTTTTGACATATTGAAATCTGTTATTGAAGACTTAAAAACAGAAATAATAGACAAAGATAACTATATGGCACGAGTAAAACGAAGTTCAATGTCATTAATGGAGGACGCTTCAAGAACCGAAGAGAGTTTTTTGAAAGAGATTACAGGAAAAGATAAAAAAATTGATGAACTTAAAAATGGAATTGAACAACTGAAAATAAAAATAAAAGCACAAAAAAAACAAACGGACGAAGAGATTAACCTAAAACCACTTATTAAGGAATTAAAAGAAAAGAACAAAGATCTTATTAATCAGATAAATGACAATGAAAAATTTATTATAAAACTAAAAGAAGACTTCTCAGATCTTGTAATGGTCAAAAATCAGATGAAGGACGCACTAGTAATACTTGAGGCAGATAATAAAATTTATGCAGAAAATGAAAGAAAATTAAAGAATGAATTGGAAAAGAAGAAAGAAGATCTACGCAAGGACAGCAAAAATAAGAAAATGGAGAAACAGAAGCAGGTAGAAAATAATAAGGATTTGAGTACAGAAGGAAGTGGAAAGATGGAAAATAGTGGAAGGCTACCAAAAAAATCTGAAAAACCTGAAAAACTCATCAAAATTCTTGTTCTGACTGATGACTGTGGGAGAAGACTTTTGGAGCCTCTACAGAATACTCTTGGTTGTAATTTCATTGTCCAAATTGTTAGCAAACCTTATGCAAGATTTAAGGAAGTTGTTTCCAGCATGGATTGTTACATCAGGGACTATACAAACGAGGACTATGTTATTGTTTTGGCAGGTTTGAATGATAAAAATATCAGCATACATGATATTACCTCCCTGACTAACAAATGCTTTTATGCAAATCTTATTTTAAGTACCCTGCCTGTAAATAGTAGATGTAATAAATCATTAAATTATATTGAAGATAGGTTTAATGCTGTAATTAATAATTTAAAACATTTTTCTTTGAATGTCGATCTTCTTGACTTGCACAATAGATTTTTGTTTAAACATTTTGTTAATAATAGTTGTTACTTGAATGTAGCGGGACTGTACAAATTGTCTACTTTATTAAAAAACTCAATCATCACATATTTCTCAAAGGCTCCAATGAGCAATTTAAGGCAATTGCATTTTTCAAAAATATCAATAGGCGATTTGGGAAGGTTGACTTCGGGTGTCTCAGCTGCCTCTCTGACGAGTGATGCGCCGAGAGAAATCGAGATTATAGAAACTTCAACCTCTCACTCTTTTTTAGACAACCTTCTCAAAGAAAACACAAAAAAAATATAACACTGTTATTATTGAATATTCAGTCTGTAAGAAACAAGGTGGACGAGTTAACTATTTTTTTGGAAACGCAAAACATGCCGAGCATTTTATTATTGACAGAGCACTGGCTGAAACCAGACGAGCTATGCTACATTCCCAATTACTTGGTAGTCGCTAGTTTTTGTCGAGGAGAGTCTGCACATGGGGGAACAATGATACTTATGACTGCTGAGTTGTGTGAGTCTTATTCTATAGTTAATATTAGTAAATACGAATTTTTACTCGTTGAAGGCGTGTTTGAGTTTTCAATAGTTCATTTTACTAAGATAAATTTGTATATTCTGTGTGTATATAGACCTCCAAGCGGAACCATTAAAGAGTTTATGGACAGACTGGAAATTATTTTATCGGACTTACCAGTAAATGCTAAAATCTTAGTGGCCGGTGACTTGAATATTAATTACGAGGATTCTGAGTCAATGTGCACTCAGAATCTGAAGGA